GTTGGCATAGGCAGAGGTGCCGGTGCCTCCGCAGAAGCCTGCAACAAATATATTCTTTTCAGAACCAGCATTTCATTCAAAACATTATTTATCAATAGACAGCACATCTTATCTGTTACCACTATTCTTTAAAAATTGTTTTCACGGAAGATTGTGGTGATTTTTATTGAACAGTCAGTTCGAGGAAAAGGAGCAGAGGTATTCTTGAAAACATATCAGGATACTCTGATGGAAAAAAAGCGCTCAAGTGGACAATTTTTTCAGATCAAAGGATATTAGGGATAGCTTCCGAAAGAGCTTGTTTACACTGATCAAGATTAACTCCTTCACAAAAATGTGGTGCCGACTCTGGAGAAACTAGGGGAAAATTAGAGGCATGAGCACAAGAATCAGGGTTATCGAAATGTCTTGCGACACGGGGCAGCTACCTCCAGACAGTCATCGTTCCTTTTCGTCAGACGATCAGAACGTTGACCATTTCAGAATTCCACTGCTAAGTAGTGAGGCACTGCGCTAATTTCCTTTATAGATTGGAGGATTACTGGTGGATTTTATTTATTTTGAGTGAAGCGCGGTGTTAAGACCTAAGCGCGGGAACGCGTAATAGGGAATGTTCGGAAGGTAGCATGGTAACGGAGGGCTTTTGCGCCACAGGACGTGCTCAAAGGCTCGTCTGGCCCAGTTCACGACGAGGAGGGGGCATTTTGCACTTTCGCTGCTTCACTTGTTCCGATTTACAAGTCTCACAATGGTGAAACTGTGAACTCTTGTGAAGCTGGAGTAAGCTCGTCAAGCCACCATGGTAAAACCTGAGCTCTACTGAACTCATGGAATAACTCCGTAGGTCGCTCTCGATACGTTGATGGGAAGTGCTAAAAATGCAAAGTGTCCCCCCCCCGCCCCTCCGCGTTGCCCAGCTGTCCCAGCTCGTCTTCTGAAACCGTCAAGGACAGTCTAGAGTAGTCAGGGGGCCAAAACATTCTGAATTTGTCTCAATAGTTCTCTGTAAAAGTTTGCTCAGAATGTCACAGAACTTTAGAGCAAGCCTAACAGTGCTGAAGGTTGGCTTTATCGAAATGTTGTCTCTTTTATGCTTTAGAGGAGGATTGTGAACTTTGTCTTTAAACGAACCTTGACGGCATCAGCCCTTTCTAGATCCACCTTCTGAGATTTCTCTTTATCGTCTAAACCCACGGTGAATACTTTCATCTTCGGTTGATGAACCTGAAAGGAGCAAAGTGAAGTCGCGTCCACAATGGACCCTATAGCACAACATATGGAGACAGAACTCAATTCCAGCAATTACAAAACACGAGTAAACGTTCTAAAAGCGAACCGAGCTTGCGGTCGATGCCGAATAGGAGAACTTTTAACAGATCAGAGGAATAAATTGTCCTGAATCGCTGAACAAACTGGTCACGCCTATATTTGACTATGCAACCTGTTTATGCACTCCAACTGATCGCATCATTGTTCGCGTCTGCTGTAGGAGTATTTCGTAGGACTAGAATTTCGGCCCATTTCCAATGATATATCTTTCTGACCAGGAGAATGGACCATCGATCATCTATTTTCGCGATACCGTTCATAATCGCTACCCCAACTTATCTCTTTCCTATTCAGTCGAGTTTTTGTCACAGCCCGCTACCATATTCCCTGTTGTAGCCCTCAGATTACGGTATCATTCTTCACCGCTACGTTGGTGATAAGAACTCGCTCGCCTTTTGTGTTGTGGTGTCTGTTTGACCATCACCCTCCCAGAAAGTTAGAATGAAGAATGTACTCCTGCGAAAGTGGGCGGCCGATGAGAAGACAATTGCCTTCACAAACGCTTGACAAGTGATGGCGAAATTGTATAATAGCTCAAATTTAAGTAGGTCATGGATAAATAACCCTGAAAGAATAGGAGGACCCCATGCTCCGTAATAGGGTCAGCTATATTGTTCAGAGATAACCCACTCGAAGATTTCTGAATTCTGATTAATGTTTCTCGTCGCTCTTCGCAATATAAGATCAGATCAAAATAGGGGCTAAACTAGGGTTCAAATAAGCATTTACCGTTCGGAATAATTAATCAGGAAAACAAGGGAAGCACAGAAAACGTCTTACATACGGCCCCTGCTCTTGCAGTTGATTTTCACAATCGTATTTTAGATATGGGCATATGGTGAACAAACCAGGGCACATCATTAGTTGATGGTTTTGGTCGAGTACCTACGATCCTCCCCGCCCCCCACTTCCCCCCTATTTTGATTTTGGAATAACTACACTTCACCCCCCCCCCCTCCCTCCTTCCCCAGGAGGTCGTTTAGTACGAAAATCCCCTAGTTCTCCTTTGATACGATCGAGCTTTCGGGGAAGGGGGTGGGGGTGTTTCACATAAGAAACGGGAACAACTGCGAGGAAAATACGCCTCCCTCTCCCCATCCTACCCACTACTTTCTTAGATTTTGCCAACTCACGGAATTTCCCGATGATTTCCCAGTTTCCCCCAAAATGTTGCCGGGGGGGGGGAGGTGGATAGCTCATGTGAAACAGGGAAAAACGCCGGGATTTTTTCCAACGAAGCGTGAAGCGAAAAAAATGAACGATTAAGAAAATTTCCCGGATTTCTCAGACCAAAAACGACCTCCCCCCTCGAGGGAAGTCCCAGTGATGATGTACCCTGTACTAAGCGACAAAGGAAGTGGAACTCCACTGATTTGTGGGACCATTATCCCTTATGGAGCTCTAATGCGTGTTATAGTCCTGGGCGGCTGTGCAACGCGGTCCAAATGGGCGTTCGGCCTCGTTGCTCTACCAATGGCGATCGGGTAAAGATCGATTTAGGGAGGGAGCAACCAATGATGGAAACGCCGCAGGTGCGAGCCGCTGATTGCGACCCGACAATTGCGGTGATGTAAAGTGTAGTTATTCCAGAGGATGTAAAGTCAGAAATCCACGGCTTACCCGGTATGCTCTTTCGAGTGGCCAAAGTAGCATAGACTCTAATGTATACTGCCCATCTTATGCAAGGAAGGGTGCCTCAGCTCACCGTTTGCTGTGCTTTTGAGATAATCAGGGTCTAGGCTTCAGTAGTGTTATGATAGCACGATTGAGCAGGAAGAAGGGATCCGATTCGAGTTCCATCAGTATTACACGTAACCCAATCATCTTGTGGCAAATAGTCTCGAGTGTTTTGCTTCACCTCATGCAAACTGCAGGCCAAAATGCATGAAAGCGACCGTATGTTGACCGACGGCTTTGTTTGCCTTCCAGAAAATGCATCGCATTACAGCACACAACAAAAACAGGTACTGCACCATAGTTCAAACTGTTGTTCCGCAAAGAGCTGTAGAAGAACTGGGCGAACGAAGAGCACTTTCAAAGCCGTTCAGGAGAGGAGTCACTCAGAAAGTGCTCAACAAACAGACCAGCAAACGTTATTCGAGGAGTTCCTTGCACGCAACCAGCTGGTTCTCTGCTTGTTATCCTGCGTTGTTATCTGGTTTGGGCCAAAACCTGAGTGTTACAGCAGTATGACGAGCTTATCCTTGGATGCTTAAGCCCTCATTGAACACTGTGCAAGATCCCCATTTTCTTCAACAAAAGAATTTTTCACTGGATGCACCACTAAGGTGGACCTATGGCTTAGCGCTTCTTCCCCATCGGAATAGAGAGAAGGTTCTCCAGTATAACTTCTGATCGGCATACTTTCGGCATCCTAACGCTCACATAAACCGATTTACAGAACAGGATTCAAGTTTTTCCGGACTAATGCCGTAGTTTCTGTGGTTGATTGACGCCACGATTCAGTCAATATTTGCGTCTTTGCAGTCATGATATATAGTCGGCAGTTAGAACACACGATTGGACAGGCTGTCCGAAACCAGCTGACCAGCAGCTATTCAGCACACAAAATGAGGCCAGCCAGCTGGACAAACCACCTGTAAACGAGCATGACTACACTGATCTGTGTGACTGTCCACCATAGCAAAGAGAGCTCAAAGGGCTCTAAAAGAACGCAGACTTGAAGCTTCTGGAAACCAGCATCTAGAAACTCGAAGCTCTACTTACTTACCATTAGCTTCATGAATATCTTGTTGTTAGCAAGAATAGTATGTGAGTAGCAGTCAAAGAAGTACAGGATCGGTGTTATTAAATATACTAATTATGACACGGACTGAAGGAGGAAAATGCAAGCTGCATGTTGAGCTTGTTCCCCCCCCCCCCCCCGCTGAGGACACTTTCAGAGCAGAGTAGATTACAACGACTCAACCCCAGAGCCTAACGTCACCCTTAAGATGTAGAGCCTCTGAATCGCTGGGAGCTACTGCTCGATATAGGCTTTAATAACATGAGATGACCGATGCAGTGCTTTTGAAAAATGATGTGTTCATTTTGCACTGGTTTGCAGCTTACGCGCTCCGGATAGCCCGGGAAAACCTATTAATTTCCGTATAGCCCCGCAGTGATCATGGAGATTCTTGTGAGATCCACGGCTGTGAAGGGATCTAGGCAACGGGAACCCCCGTGTATTTTCCTCTAGAAGGATTGACCTCCTTGATTCTAGCTAAATTGTTGGCAGCAAAACTTGTTCGAATTGGCAGGTCTAGTACAGTAGTTCCATTGCAGGCACGCACAGCGTCCGTGCACGAGTTTCTATCCTTAACGTTTAGCATTACTAGTTCAGATAAAACGTGACAAGGGTTTGAGGAGCAGTTCGGCTTAGGAGGGGCATTTTGCACTTTCGCTTCATCCCATTCATTGCTTTAGTTGACAGGTGTTATTTAGAAGATATGACAAGGAGTTTCTATCGACGTTGACTGGTATCACTCCGTTGCTTCACAAAATTCCACAAATCTTTTTTTTTGATGACTCGGCGCGACAATGGAAATCATGCAAGTGCCATCCCCCTTTCCAAGCCACACGCTTCGCAGTTGGGCGGGCTTAGTTAGCAGCGCATGTACGTGTACATCTTTTCGCTTCTGAAGACGTTAGAATTGCCACAACAGCTGAGCGGTCCTCTTAGTAAGTTCATGGAGAACCCTAGAAAGTTGGCGATAGATTCGCCACATCGTGAATCTTTTCGGACTATTTTGACGTCCCTGCACTTGCCATTAAATGGGAGATGCGGGTTCGAGTCCCGTCCAAGGTCTAACTTTCGCTGATGACTCAGCATTCTTGTGATCCGAAGCGCAAACTGCGGTGTTAAACAGCGGTAATCATTTTGAGACAACGTAAAACATGTGAAAAGCCTTGACTACCAATATCGGCTAACCGGCTCATCACGTTAGACGTTTGAGTGCTGGAAGGACAATAGCACAAATAGCCATTGAGCTGAGAGGTCAAGGAGTGGCCCCGGTAGCGTAATAGGGAACGCAGCTGCACGGAAAGCAGGAGATGCGGGTTCGAGTCCGGTCCGTAGTCTTCTTTTGCCTGTAACTCAGCACTCTTGTGATACCTTTCCATAGTATGTTCTTGGCCCAGAAAGGTTCCTTTATATTTTGGCTTTGATTCAACCACTGCTCAGCACAAAGAGTGAACAGGAGCTGGTTAGTACCCTCCCGAGGAAATAGATAGTTAACGATGAAGTATGAGACATTATCAACTAAAACTTCCATAGCCACCTGCGTTAGAAACTGGAAACTTTAGGGAGCGGATCGCGAAGGTTGCACGGTCGAAGAAAGTTCCAATTCGGAACGACCACTCATCACGGACATTATGACTCGCCTATGCTGACCCAGATGAATCCATGCAAAATGAGCGGAATGCACATTTGATTAGATCTCAGCTTACTAACAACACAACGCTGAAAAAGAAGCTACAAAAATAAAGCACTTCCATTCAATTTTTACTCAGTAAGTATCCAAAATATGGATGATAGTTGTTGCCTCAGAAATAATGTCGAAGAATGAGATAGCGAAATGGCAGCTCAATGGTATGCTACCGCATCTGTCCCTAAAGCCTTAATAAACTTTCTAAGAGGGTAAATTGGCGTCACAGCCCTGGCCAAGAGTCACCCACGTTGTTCTTAACAATCCATCCGGACTAATACCAGATGTGAACCCGCATTTTCATTTATTGACCCTTTAAACGGAACTGAACTATGACAACAACAAGCTGCAAATCACTTTATCTAACGAAACCAACAAGAAGGACCAGCTAGAAGGGATAAAGCTCAATTTTTTGTATCTAGCTCATTACCGTCAGAAATTCACTAGAATACTCGGTGAGTTCATGGGAGAAATATCACCACTTATGGCCCAGAAATTTCTTATGACACTCCTGCAATTTCGAATTGCTTTTTTCTGGAATGCATTTAGAAATAGATGATATCTAGATGCATATTCAGGAAGAAGAAATTCCAGAATAAAATTATTCACATTATAGTATGAAATTGAAGTAAGATGCAGGTGCAGCTATAGCTGATGTGATTGCTAAGCTACCTAGGCTGAGAGACGTTTCGATGCTCCAAGGGTACGTAGGTGTAGAAGGACTACTAATGAAGTGCTGTGAAGGGCAAACATGAACATGGAAAGTATAGTAGCTCTCCTGAGATATGGAACTGCGAAGAAAGCCACGAAGCCACGACAAGGTGTTGTTTCGTGGCCTAGAAACACACCGTAAAACAGCGATTATTGCTGATGTGACAGAAAGCTTCTTTGCGAAGCCATAAAACCACTAGAAAACCGGGAACTACTCATAGAATGATCCGCAGTGGATGGAAGAGGGACAAAATCGCAGCCCTCATACGGCTTGCAAAACATACAGCTGAAATGAACGAGTGTGGAGGATATCGTTGAGCTAAAACGAGAACAAAAGACCCCGGTTGGCTGCAGTGGTCAGCTATGAGGCGGAGAGGCGGATGACGCCGAGAGCCTTCGTCCGTCGAGGACAATAAGGCCAGGACCGGATCGCCGACGGCTCTACACGCTGAACGGTCGCTTGGTGCTCAGCGGGGAGTGACCAAAACTTCATCTGTCAAGGTCACCGGTTTTTCACATCCAGGAAAAAAGAGAGAGCGGATCACAAGGGACGTATGTACTGCAAGTCGGCGAAACGTAAGACAGCGAACATAGCAAGAGTTTGGCGAAAGGTTGAGCAAAGTATAAATTAACGCAAGATCTTCATTTTGGGAATTATCGCCTGAGAAGTGACAAGATTAAGGACAGCGGTGAGAATCGGGACATAAGTACTAGAAACGAGAGGAAACCGAGTGGGTTCAAAGATCGACGCGGCGCAAATGCAGTTTGTCACGGTCAATGGTATTCTCCCATATGGCCGCACGTCGACGATCACCAAACCCTTAAGTGGCCAGTGCGTGATGATTTTCGAACCCTCAAGTTACGGTCGGGCGTCTCTAGGATCACCCATTGAGGGAGATTGAAGGAGTGGTCGATCCAGATCGCATCGTCGTCGAAAAACATTCATTCGCTCCTCGTCCTTTGATTCCGTTCCCAGTACTGCGGTTGGATTCTCTTGATGGTTGGTAAAAAACAGCCATAGCACAATTTCGTAGTGTTGCATAAGGATACGGCAAGTCGAGGAAATAATGAAACGATTCCCTGAAGTCAATCCTATCCCTACTAGAAACAACTGAGTATCCACTTCATGCTACTTGTCCGGCAGAACCGCTTTTAGCTGGAAGGCTGATTAGAAGGAGGAGCCTACAGAGTTGTTAGAAAACTAATGGTGCCACTGAAGCAGCTTCACCTTAACTTTCGTGACCTTACAACTTTCCGCCGCGAAACGGGCACAATGTTGTCCATTGCGGTCCACTCTATCCTACCCACACAATTTTTTACAACGTCATAGGCCATCGCGGACTTCCTTTGAGTAAACCCGTCACCTCCATCGAGATCCCCTTCAGACCTGTACGGGGTAGATTTGAAAGAGGTTATTGAACCGATTATAAAAGGCACTGAATTGCTGAACAGCTTCCAATCAAAATTTAGTTAATAATTGTGAAGCATCTTTCAAAAAAAAATGGTCCATGCTGACTAAATCGCATTTGTTCAAGGAACGTCAAGGCAAAAAGGTTTAACAGTCAGTAGCCTCAACTTTACTGATTGCTAACTTATATCACTGTGACGGGTGGGAAGTGGTACAGCGCGGCTATGGATACCGTTTGATCACTCCTAGTCCCGGAGTCAAACTCGGGTCAGCTCCCGCTCAGACAAACCAAGCCTTCCATTCCAGGCAGTGAACGGTAGCAAATTCTCCCTATAAGGAAACAGGGAAGAGCACAGAAGGAGGACTAAGCTTTGGCTTGACCAAGGGTACTCGCGGAATGGAAGCTAATACCGCATCGCTTCCAATTCCCCCACCTAAGCACTTCTGACGTAGCTGATTTTTCAACGAATTTGAATTTTTTTGTTTTCACTGATTACTTCTTTATACGTTGGCTAACCCCTGCGTTTCATTGAAGCCTGGATGTGTGCCACACTCCGGAAAGGGAGTGATAAGCGGCAGGAGCTTGATCCTTTTTGTCACCCTCTGATCCCATTAGCGATGCAACTCTTCTGCCCCTTGACCCTTTGACCTAAAGTGGCGCGTCCTTATTACGCGTGAAAAACTGTTGCATATACACTGCGTAAGGAAATGGACCGATTCTCGGCTGTCTCGGAGGCTACGGCGTAAAGTTTATTTAGCCGAGTTTGAGCGGTCATCCTCTAGTCATGCGAGCCACACTCGACCATCCGTGCTCTAGAGAGGGCTTAGTAAAAAAAAAGTGTATCAGTACTCAGTACGGTGGAGATGTAGGATGATGATGGAGTATGGAGAGCGAACGAAAACATATTGGACTGGATATTAGCAAGAAGCGACTTCGAGTCAACCTGATCTTGGATCTACTTCGCTATGTGTCGAGGGCTTCAGACAAGGAGCGGAGAACTTCATCGGCATAGATGCAGAAAACTCGTTCGCTACCTCAATCAGCTGCTGGACATTCTTTGGGGGTTATCGCTCAGTAGTGGAAATTCGAGACTCATTCTCTACTGTAGTCGACAAGTTCAATGTCGAATTTTCACGTTCCTTGAAGTAGAGGGATGTCCTCAATGTTCAGATTGCCAGTTTTTAGAGTCGATGTTC